ATTATTTTCAGCGTTGGAAGCGAATCGATTAATACCTGAATTTCTCTCGTAATCGGCTCTGGATAATACTTCCTGCAAAAGGGAAATACGTGACGTGTCAGTTTAATTTTGTCTATCATTTCATTTATATATAACATTTAATTTTATTACACTCGAATTGTATTCATTTATTATTCGCGATAATAACTACACGTACTTTATTATATTCTCGAGGGTAATTATCACAACGGTTGTTTGTATGCGGGATATGAATCGATTAATAATTTCATTAAAAAAATTCGACGATCTAAAAAAAAGAAAAAAGAAAAGAAAAGAAAAAAGAAGGATAGATCGTAAATGTATCGTACGAATGGGTGAAAAAAAATTAAATGAAAATTAATCAATCGATTAAAATGAATTATTTTTCGTGAATTTCGAACCTGCGGAAGATGTCGTTGCGGTGGCTGCGAGAGATCCTCCTCCTCCTCCTCCTCCTCCTCCTCCTCCTCCTCCTCCTCCTCCTCCTCCTCCTCCTCCTCCTCCTCTTCCTCCTCCTCATGATCATTTTCAAAATCCTGTTCGTCACTAAATTCCAACGATGATTTCTTACGATTGATCTTAGTCGAAAACTCATTAATTCGAATAGTTTCGTTTAATTCATTAGATGATCCGGATAAATCGATCACGCGCTTCCCTTTTATTTCTTTCAATGGATCTACGATCTTGTTCACTATCATCGTATAACTAATCTCATTATTGAGTATCGATTCATCATCGATCGTTACCGTATCTTCATTGATCCTTTCATCGATTTTATTCTCCTTTTTGAAATCATTATTGTATCTTCTCGCAGCCATCGATCGTTCCTCGCATTCGAAATTTTTTATCCTGTTCGATACTCTCGAACTTTCGTCATTAGATCTAACTAATGTCATCCTATCGTTAATTTTAGAATATTCGATGGCCGTCGTTTCCTGACGGATCTCGTAATACTTAACGAAATTCCTAACGCTACCGGGGATTATCGTTAGAGTATCTTGCCCTGACGATTGGTCGTTACTTAAAGCTACGGGTGTCGTTATGGCCCTGTTATTGTCATCATCATCATAATCATCATCATCATTATCATCATCATCATCATTATCATCATCATTATTATCATCATCATTATTGCGATTGGTTATTAAAATCATGGGAGTCTTTTTTCTAACTATGGCACAGTTATCAGCTCTATTATTCGTCCTCTTATATTCTAACGATTCGTCAACATTATTACTACCTATTATTTCTAAACGATCGATCATATTATTATCCTTCGTCCTTTTGTCATTTAATCTATCATCATCGTTTTTATATAAACCTTTAATATTCTTAATAATCCTCGTTTCTACAATTGTATCTTTGATATTGCTCGAGTCATCAGATCTCTCGATGACACACTTCTCTCTTACATGACACTTGGACATTTTCATCATATCGTTGTCCAACTGTCGACTCTCCATTATTTCCGCTTGGATTCTTCGTACCGCCATCTGGTTCGTAGTAATAATCTTTCTATCGTCTTTATCGTCCTCCTCCTCCTCCTCCTCCTCCTCATCCTCCTCCTCCACCTCCTCCTCCTTCTCCTTCTTCTTCTTATCGTCGTCAAAAAGATTTTTTCTTACTTCATTCGTCTCATCAGTAACGAAGGATTTAATATTCTTAAAATTAACCAAATCTTCGACTTCATTATTGTTATTATTATTATTATTATTATTATTATTATTATTATTATTATTATTATTATTATTATTATTATTATTATTATTATTACTATTATTATTCGTCGTCGTCGTCGTTAAGCTTTTCAATTTGATCGTAGGAAAGTTAACGAGCAATTCACTTAGAACGTCGTTTTTGACATCCTTTATGTTTTTCTCATGGAACGAATTACACCATCCCTTCTTTATCGTACACGTCGACGTCGACGTCGACGTCGTTGTCGTCGACGTCGTTGTCGTCGTCGTCGTCGTCGACGTCGTTGTTGTTGTTGTATTATTATCCCTATTGTTTACTTCACTTATCTCATCGATCCCAATGAATCGATCGTTTTTCGGATGGATCTCTACGATCTCGCAATATCCCGTTGTATTATTCCAATTTTGTTCATCCCTATTATCTACATCCGACAGCATCGTTTCTAAAAATGTATTGCGTCTAACGTTAACCGGTACATCGGTTTTTTTCTTATCGATTATAGTCTCATAATCGATCCATTTTATACGATCATTCATAAATTCCGACGTGCTTGACATAGTTATCGTTTTCAATTCATCTTTAATAATTATTTCGGAATTCGTTGAATCCGTGATTTTCAATGATTCCTCGTCGATCTTTCTCTCTTCGTATGAATTTTTGTAGGATAATTCATGGTTACTGGATACGTCGGATTCTTCGTCCCAATCTATTGGACTGTCGTTCATAAAACTACGAACCGATTGCGTTAGAAAAATTTTTCTACGTTCATTCTTGTCAAATTGCTTTTGAATATTATTAAGTGATTCACTTTTGGATTGTTCGTGAATGAAAATATTTTTATTAGTATCTTTAACTTCGTAATTGACGTTATCATCGTTTTCATCGTTTTCATAATTATTCTTGTTATCTTTGTTGTTGTTCTTGTTGTTAGTCTTGTTAGAAACTTCTATCTTCCTCGATAATACATCTTCCGATAAATTAGATTCGATCTTAGATTCACGTACCTTTACGTGTTCCTTCGTAAATGAATTTACGACGATTAACGATAAATCATTCGAAGAAAAATGATCTAATTGATTTTCATCAATAATATTATTCGTTTCCTCTTTGAAATTTTCTTTAACATCAATGACATTATTATCGATCGTCGAAGAAATTTCTACAGATTTTCGATTGGTATTATTTAGAATTAAGGAATCAAATGGTATTTCACCAAATATATCGGCGTTATCAGAAGTCTGCAAATTTCTTTCGAGATTATCTTCTACAGGCTGGTGCGGGTACTGCTGCTGCTGCTGCTGCTGCTGCTGCTGCTTCTGATGTTGCGGTTCTTCCTCTTCCTTCTTCTCCTCTCCCCCTTGCTCCTCCTCGTGAACTTCCTCGTTCGTGATCAAATCGATATTCCGTAGACCACCATCGACCTTGGTTGGCATCGAGGAATTTGGTGGTGTCTCTATTACGAATCTCACTTTGGTAGCAGTATGTTCTACGGTGATATCGTTACCTTGAAATATATCATAACAGAGAGATGATCTTTTCGATCGTCTGACATTTAACGCGCTACTTCTGTCGATGTAATCGTCGAAAATAAAATTATTATCTTGATCGTTACGAAATTCTGAATTTTCATAATCCAAGGAAGTTTTCCATCTGTCTAAACATTTTTCAAAAGGAAAATTCGTCGGAGTTACGCGAAAACAAATTTCATCCTTGTCGTCGTCATTGTCCTTATAGTTAACATCCTCGATATGATTATCCGTTAAGAAAGACAGATCCTTCGTAATATGATCGACATCCTTTGGATTTTGTTCTTCCTCGAAGAAACTTTCTATCTCATTTTCAACCTTTGCCAATTCCTTTTTTAATATCTCATTGTCATTTGACGGCCACGTTGTTTGCGAATCATTCGTTATAACATCTTGAAGGTCATCGATGGTAAAAAATAAAGATGGATATTTGTTGTATTCCTTTTTCTTTACCATTTGATCGTATCTAGGTGAACGTACGATTATTATAGTTTCATCGTCTTTTCTATCGTCGTATGTTGATTGATTTTTTTTAGGACTCTTAAGGACGACCATCAACGACGAATCTTTTTCAGGACTCTCATCAATCATCGACTCGCTATCATTATATGGTCGTAGAACGTTGTCCTTATTGAAGACTTTTTTCGATGACGTAACGTCATCAGAGTGCAACGATGTTGTCAGTAATTCATTCTTAGGATCAAACACGTCGTCAGGTTTAAATTCTTTTATCTCGTCGTAAGTTTTCTTCGTACATAAAGAAATCTCTTCGTTTATAATATTATCCTTCGAATTATCCGACATTAAGATCTCATTCAAGGTCTCATCATCGTTCTCGTTGGTAATAAACTTCGAACTCGGTGGATCATGAATAATTATCCTCGTTTTAATCTTACTCTTATCAACGTTCTCGTTGATGTTATTTTTTCTTGGTAATTGAGAAGGTGGTGGCGGTGGGGGTAGACGTTTTCGATCGACCTTACTATACTTCGTAATAGCTTCGACTTCCTTATCTGAAGTTTCCGCGTTTATATTTTTTTTTCTTCTTCTTCGTCTCGGTGGTACAGGTGGTGGTGGTTGTAGTGGTGTTATTGGTGCCGATAATGGTGATGGTGATGGTGATGCTGACGTTGATGGTGATAGTGTCTCCTCACCTACGATCAGAAGAAACATTTTTCTTTTTTTTTTTCTTTTTTTTTTCTTTTTTTCTTTTTTTCTTTTTTTCTTTTTTTCTTTTTTTCTTCCTCCCCTATCCTTCTTCATTCACGCACCTGTGCGAATACATGTCTAAGAAAATAAAAAAACTTATGGTATATATATATATACCATAAGTTTCTTTATTTTCTTTTTTCTTTTCTTTCTTTCTCTTTTTTTTTTTTTTCTTATTCTACATATAATATGCTCACATTTGTGAAACATCGAGCGTTCACGTTTTCGTCTCCCGAAAGTTATCATTGATAACTTTATCGAGTTAGAATATCACGCGCATACTCGCGAAGAAAAGATACGACCACGACGTATGACCGGCGTATACTAAAGGTGATTCCTTAGAAATGATGAACTACGTTTCTTTTTTTCTCTCTCTCTCTCTTTTTTTTTACCCCACTACCACGCTCCTACTCTTTCCTAACGCACTCTCTCTCTCTCTCTCTTTCTCTCTTTTTTTCTCTCTCTGACTCTCGGTTTCGTTCAATAATAGTCTGTCTCTATTTTTCTTTTTTTTTTTTTTTTTTTGAAATCGCGAATCACTGGGTATCTCTCTATTGATACGCGATTTTTATAAATCATTCATATTTTCTTTTCTTCTTCTTCTTTTCTTTTTATCTTTCTAACGAATATTTACATTTTTGTATTAATGAAATTTATAAGATAAATAATAAAATCGATTATTATATCTCTACTGAGAATAGTTGCTGGAACATTGTTGAAAATTGAATTTTGATAGACATTGATGAAAATGAAATACGGCCTTGTGTCGTTTGCTCCGAATTAAGAAAATTAGCCGAATATCAACTTTATCTTTAACACCGAGATATTTATCTTACAAACGGTGTGGACGGGTTAAACGCGAAATATTAGATTGCTCTACTAGGCTCTACTGATTTAATAATTTTCTTCTTTGCACGAGTAAACGTTAAAGGGGAGAGATAGATAGGGTAGGATAGGTAGATAGCTAGTTGGGGGAATTCGAAACGGAATAGACTGTCCGGGTGACTTTAGGGTATGGGGCTTCGTTAAGGGGATGAAAATAATTTGATTAGCGATCGTAGATGGCACTGGGACTTTATTCCCTCTCGGCATAATGTTCTTAACTGGATTGAGATTTTCCAACGCGTCTTCAAGGTAAAAAGATTTAATAAAAGGTAAAAAGGCGGAAGTTATTTTCTTACTGTGCGAATTCAATCGAACGTATTTTTTTTTTTTATATCGCATCACTGAACACAGTTCAATTAATATCAATGATGAAAAATGAAAAATAAAAAATAAAAATAATAATAATAATAATAATAATAATAATAATAATAATAATAATAATAATAATAATAGTAATAATAATAAAAAAAAAGGAGGAATATTGATAAAAACAAAACAAAAGAAATTTTTTTTCTTCTTTTTTTTCTGGTATTATTTTTTTTTCTTTGTTCTTTTTTTTTTTTTTTTTTTTTTTTTTTACCTAATTATATGAACACCTGACGACTGGTCCTACTAACATCAAAGTCTTCAATACTAAGTAGCATACTAGCGGACTTGAGGGCGTTGTTACCGATAAGATCGGTCAGGTACAAACTGTTAGCATTGTGGTTACCCATTGCGCTAGAAGCAGCACTACTATATGCGCTAGATGTATTTTGTACCGAGGCAACATCCATAGTCTTTTGTGGCAACAATTTGTTCGTCATGCTAGACGTTTCGGCTTCGGACGAAGCATCGAATCTAATGTCGCTAAAAATTCAAACAAACGTATAAAAATATAATAAAAATTATAAGAATCTCGAGAGACGTCGTTGATTTATTTATTATATATATTTGAATTTATATGAATGAATACTCACTGAAGATAATTATTATCTATGATATTGGTGTCACGAATATCTAATTTTTTTCGCGAATCCGGTTGAGAAAGAACAAGCTCGACGGTTTCCGACGAACTTTGTAACATCTTCAAAGCGTCCTCGTATCGAAGATTCAATAAATTCTGTCCGTTTATGGCTACGATCCTATCACCTAATAATAAATAATAAATAGTTCATTTTAGGATGTACTATATTATAAATTTTTTAATAACGTCATCCTATCTACCTTTATTAACGTTACCGGCCATATCAGCAGAACCACCAACTGATACTGCTTGAACGTAGACACCACCATCGTTACCTTCGGTAACTTGTAAACCTATACTACCACCATGTCCTCTTTCTAATTTGATAGTATGTAAAATCCTTTCCTCGGCAAAGGACAATTCTTCCAAACGTGCCATCAATGAGGCCGATATAGATTCTTCTTCGGGTACGTGAAAAGTTTCGTCGTCCGTTCTTATGTCTGCGTCTATGAAGAGAGAGAGAGAGAGAGAGAGAGAGAGAGAGAGAGAGAGAGAGAGAGATAAAAATTTCAACATATAAAATTTATCATTATTAATTATTGATTTGATCACTGTTTTACTAACTGAGTACGTAAGCTTCAGGCAAAGGTGACTCCGTCGATCTAGCTGAAAATGACCTTATCGACGATTCCGTGTCAGACTTTAGAGATACCGACTCAGCAGTATCGTCGGTAAGAGCGGCATCTTTTTGTGCGAGACTACTGTAGATTGCACGAGTACCCATTTTAACACCTAATCGACGTGGTAAGCTAGGCGTACGAAAACCAGTACTTTGCCTTGGTGTCCCGTAATTCGGCAAACTCGACGTTTTCATCTGTTGAGAGAAGAAGAGAGAAATGAACGAGATCAATGTTGGTACAGGTCAATTTTTTTCTTTTTTTTTTCTTCTCCCTTTTCCTTATCTTAATAAGAAAAAAAAAAAAAAAAAAAAAAAACAATATTTTCTCGAATGAAAAATATAATATCACATTGTTTATTTACTTTGTGTATTGTCTTTTTTACGTCGGCCACTTCCCAGACCTCCTCAGGAACAGGAAAATTTTTCTTTCTCGATAGGCCTGCCTTATTGATTGCGGCATAAAGTTCCTCAGGATTATCAGACTTTTCATTCAAATGATCGATATCATTGGTCGACATAATTTTTGGCAATGAATAAACGCACTCAACTGTATTGTCAGTTTTGATTCTTGAACAGGCATAAATCGTACCCCTATCTCTTTCCTTGATATCCAACGTGATTATTGGCGGTTCGTTTGGATTCATCAGATCACCCTCGGATTCGTCCTCGGTGTCACGCGATTCACCTTCGGGTTCTAATCTAACATTAACTTGTGCATATAGAGCATCCTCTTCCGACGAATAAAACGCATGATTATTATCCTGATTTTGGGCCATTGCGTTTGCATCCTTTTGAGGATTTTCATTCTCTTTGTTTTGATATTCCTCCAATTGCATCGGATAACACAATTTTGTATGTAACTTAACTGTATTGGCGGCTATCGTTATTTTTGTTTTTCCATCGGTGTTTTTCATTTTTGCGGGCGAACCAGACGACGTCTCGACTGTCATTGGAATTCCAAAATCTACGAAGAGAGAGAGAGATAGAGAGAGAGAGAGAGAAAAAAAAAGATGTAAGAAATCTGTGAAGGATTTTCTGTTCAATATTATTTCTCATTGGAATCTCAAACCTTTCGCAAGTCCCTGAAGTGACGTAAGCTCTGAACGTAATTTAAGGAAGAACTGATGATGCAACGAGGTCAGTTTGAAAGCGAAGTAACTTCTGAAAACGATTGATATATCGAATTAAACGATTCTCCTTTAAAAAAAAAAAAAAAAAAAAAAAAAAAAAGAAAAAAAGAAACAAAGAAGACAAAATTTTAAAAAGACTTACTTCCTGTGATCCATGCGTAATTTGAATTTGCACCGTTTACCATTTAATTTCGTGTAAACGACCAAACAATTCTTGTTGTAGCTCAACGTTTGAATGTCTCTCCATTGAAATTGAGCTAATTCCATTCTTTCTCTAGGCTCACCGCCTCTTTCGAAAAGTTTTAAACCCTAAAAAACGGGATATATAATAAATATTTTTTTTTTTCTTTTTCAAAAATATAGCTTTTATAATGTAGACGTACTTGAGCATGAATGGCCAACCAAACGTTACTATCACTTTTTTTCGTCTTTGACGTCTTATTTTTGCTGTTGTTATTAACGTTATTGTTATTATTATTATTATTATTATTATTATTATTATTATTATTATTATTGTTATTATTATTATTAATATTATTATTATTATTTATGCAAGGATCTTTCCTTAAAAGTCCGCATGTAATTTGTTTCGAACAGATTTGTTCGGATGGGTTTACGTTGAAATTTTTATTCGTTCTTGTATTACCAATGTCGGATTTACGTTCGTCGTTGTAACGCGTTTTAGGAATATTATCGGTAGAATTAGGACCAGGTAGATTTTCAATTCTACCATATATAGTAGTAATAGTAGTAGTAGTAGTAGCACTAGCAGTAGCAGTAGCAGCAGCAGCAGTAGTAATCATTTCCTGTCCGTAAATATTTTCATTGCGTGCACCCTCGCAACTGCGTCTTTTATCCTCGTTCATCTTACGTTTTCTCTCTTGTGCCATAACCTTTTCGAGTTCCTTCGAATCGACACTGGCTATGTAATAATGCGATCCATAATCCTGTAAGGATTGGGAATGCGTTATGAACATTTCCTCGGCTTTGTTCGAATCCAAACCACGACGATCCCTATGAGCCTGTTGTAGTTGTAAACGCAAAGCTTCGGCATTAACATTAGACTGATGTTGATCCATGTTTAATATCAATGATTCCGGTACGTAATGTTCCAATAAAAAATAATCACCGCAACCGTGTTCCTACAGAAAGAAAAAGAAAAAAAAAAGAAAGAAAGAAAGAAAGAAAGAAAACTCATTATTGAAAATATAATATCAATTTGTTGCAAACGACGAATGAAAACAATATATATATATATATGGACGAAGAGATTCGAATGATAACGAAGGGAGAATTGGACAGAATCGGAAGGGAGGAGAGTGCG